TGTAGCAGAAAAATTAAATTTTGTCCACTCAGTTTGGAAATTTTGAAGCAGCTCTGCCAGAAACAAAGCACATGGAAATCACGTCTACATTTCTTTCCCACTTGAAGGAGCAGTGTGATTTGAAAAAAAAAAATTAAGTAAATATTACATTAAAAAAACAAACCCCAACACTTCTGTGAGCCCAACTTTCATCCTGTTATACTTTCAAAGGGAYTGTTATATCCACAACGATTTAAGTGTGAAATCAATTTAAAAATACTTGAACAATACCACTTAGTATATTTGTAGAGAGTGGTGCCTGGCCTGGCCTCTTGCTGCTGACCAAAAGATATCCTGTAAAGGAAGTAGCTAATCACTGTCTCCTTGGAAAATGTTTACAAAGGGAGTTTGGGATGATGTTATCTACATCCTGTTTAAGTAGCTATTTTGTTCTTTAAAATCAGATGGTGAACCCAAAAGAAGCATTCTTAGTAGTATTGTTATGCTTTTCCTTTCTGTATCTTGAGTTTCTGGACAGTTGTTTCAAGGGTACCAGCTGGTTTTCCCCTTACCTATCCATACTTTATACAYATGTGTTTTAAGAAATAAGCTGTTTTGCACAATTCTTATAAAAATCAATTGGTTAACTGTATGTACACATAAGTATACAAATCAAAACTGATCAAATATGTTAATTCTGGAAGACCATAAAGGAAAGAAAGCCGCTTCGCTATGGACTACTGGAGAGAAATAAACATTATGATCACAATGCTGTTGGAATCAGTTATAGTAAATAAAAACTTTTGTCTTTCCCTGATGCCAGAATTAAATGTGATTTTGGGTTTATTGATCCAGAATACAGATTTCAGTTTGCAATATCATTATTTTTCACTGCATATTGCCCCACTGTGTGTTGCTTCTAAAATTCAGGCAAGCTAGGCAGATAATCATTATAGGCAGATAATCAATGTTTACTGTATTTCAGCATTCTCCTAAATAGAAAAATATCAAAAGCTTGAATCAATAGAAAGTCTGGAGACTGAGCCTACAAGCTACATAAATYGGTGTGATTCTACTCAGAAGAATGCCACCAGTTAGTAACATTTTCTAACTCACCAGACTTCTTGATGCTTTTATATATCACTAAGATGTGTTTATTGCTTTTTCTAAATTTTATTGGAATAATTAATTTTAGTCCACTTGTGTTTAAAGTTTGCTTGATTAAAAGCAACAACAAAATCAAGCTTCAATTATACACAGCTCACAGTGCAAGACTGTTGCCAATCAGCAGCTCGCAAACTATCCGTACATACAACWAATGATAAATTTAGGCATAGCTCTTAAAGTAAATTTTAGACTCTCTGATGAATTTTAAGTCTGTGAGGGAATCCAGAGTGAAAACAGAAGGAAATTTTAAGTTATTAAAAATTAGAAATATCTAAATTTTACTGTGCTGGTTCACTTCATATTGTGAGATTTGTCCGAAAAGAAGGGAAGAGTAATTTGGCYCTTTTAGGGGGATTTGTAACCCTAACGATTTTCAAGATTTTTTTGTAACCATGAGAACACTCAAATATTCTAACAGTTTGGTCAGAGAAGCTGTGCAGTCTTCAGACTAGGAGGCTTTCAAGATCCARCTAAATAAAGTCCTGAGCAACCAGGCTTAGTCCCACAGCTGGCCATGSTTTGAGCAGCGGGCTGGACCTGAAGATACCTTTCAAACTCAGACATTGTATTGTTCTGAGATTTTCTACAGAAACCCCTGTTAAGTCTAATCAAAATCAGTATCTTTTTAACTGTGCCAGTTCTGATAAAAGTTACTGCCTTTACCTACAAGCTATGTCTTGCCTATAATTTCCAAGACTAAAACCCACAGACATTTCATCGAGTGGCAGCATCAAATGTTTACACCTACATGTGTCGTTACTACGAGTGGACTCATTCAATCCATCCCACAGACCTTTGGYATTTGAAGTGAACAAACTTACAGCAGGTATCATGATCAGCCTGGGTGTTCACTAAGAATGGTRGGGAATCCATGGCGGGCAAATAACCCAAAAATGCTCTGGCAAAATCAAAACCCAGCAAGTCCAAGCATTCCATGCTCTGCTCTATGTTCTGGCAGTTTTTCTAAGCTTTTCCTTTTCTGCTTTCATGAGTTCTAGTTGTGCCACTCTTTCACTTTGTTCAACTAAAGGCTGACAGCTGGAAGTTAATGTTTAACTAAAGCAACCTTTCCAGAAGAAATGTCAGTATAATGTAGTGAGAGAATTATCYAAGGTTAGATAAACTCATGGGGTTATCAGACCCAAACCTTCACTAACTCCACCATTTTCCAAAAATAGAAATGTTTGATAAATGGGTGAAYGTATCCAAAGCCTAGATCATCCTGATCAGAAGGGATGACCCAGGCTTGAAACAGACACTACAGGTGCTCTACTAGCTACAACAGAAATCAACACACCAGCAAACTGTTTTAAGAGCTATAAACTTTAATTATAACAGAGAAGTACATTCAGATGATACCTTAAATAGGGCTGATAGTACAGGACAGCCACACCTTGGGCATATCATAGCTCAGATGAAGTTTTTTAATGTGGAATTGCTAGCAGGCTCTCACTGAGGACAATTTGTTAAATCCAATGACTCTTATTACTATCTAAGTTGCACGACATTTTGCAAAGAAGTTGACATTTCATACAAAGACTCCTTTTAGGTTTCTATTCACTGTTCTTCTTCCCAATTATGTTAGCAAGCTTTCCTCCTTTTCTGGAATTCCTTCCTACACTAGATTGTCTGGYTTGCCTCACTAATGTTTTCTACTGMAGCTACCACATACCAGATGCTCTGTGAGTGCCAAGGAACCTTCTCATTCATGATCCCACACCACAAGGACACTGGAAAGCTTTCAGAATGAGGCTGTGCTTTTAAAATTATCTATGTTAAAGAGATCTAAATAAATGCTACTGGAAAACTGTGTGGTATTGCTCTGTTGCCACTGTTTGGTTGTGGCAGATATTGAGATAATTTGAGTGGGTGGTGAAAATAATTAAATAACTAGCACTGTATGGCAGAACAGGTGTAATTTTTATTTAGGTTATCTGAGTTGGGTTTTTTTTTGCCTGGATTAATTTTTGTGTTCAACTCACTGTATGGTAGTACCTGCTCCACTAGYTGGCCCACAGTAAAGAGGAGGTATGGACCCAGAAAAAATAGCAAACTGAATGAGCTTAAAATAGATTCGAAAGCACAGCTTTAAGAAAATTATTTTTACTCTGAATCAAGGCTAAGCTGTTTGTGGACTTGCAGTAACCTAGAGGGAAAAAAGGYGTATCTTGAAATACAACTGAACTCCAAAGATTCAGCTTGAGCTGAGGCAGTAAATTGGTTCTTTCACTTGTTTCTAAGGGTAAACTTCAATTTMTAAGTTACTTTTGTTGCAAAATCTTCCAGAAATCTGAGCACAAGAGTACAAAAATGCCAAACTAGTCATGTTCCCTTGGGAGCAATATGGTTCATCTTAGCCATTATCATCTCATAACTCTGTTAGCATTGCTCCTCCGAATCGTAAGTTACACTTCAAAGCAATTAACTACTGATAGAAGCTCTGAGAATTGAAGAAATATCTTGCCTTTTCCACACAGCAAATCTCTGATCCTCTGAGAACACAAACTAAGCATGAATCTACTTTACACTAGGAGATCATTTTATCTRAAGAATGTCACATTCAAGGATCAATATGTCAGATTGCTGTCTGAGCATGTAAGCTACAATTGAATATTTGTGTGAGATTTTGTACTGTAAGATTTACTTGCCTTCAGGCCACAAAGCTACAAATATTCTGTCAAAACTTCCATTTATTTGTGTAAGTATGAATGCATGTAAACTTCTCAAGGAAAATTTGTTSCAGAAAAAGCAGAGATGGCTGGGATGTAACTTCTCTGAAGTGCAATTCAGCCAAGGAGATTGGCATAGCAACTAAACTGCCACAGAGCACATGACAGTGTGATCTTGGATATCCATTAATGCATTTGTGTTTCTTAAACCACAGTTCTATGCTAAGAATGAGCTTACAACTTAGTACAAAGAATGTCACCTACTGAATGTGATTGCCAGGAATATGTAGAGTTTTTCCTTTTACCTGGGATTCCTCAGCAAAGCAMAGGTCAGGTTTGCCCCAGTTCCTGTTGTAATAATGGTCTTTATCACTGCCTCTGAGAAGAGCCRGCGAGCAAAATTGATCATTTTGGAAACCTAAAGAGAAATGTGCCCTGGTTGTTGGCAGAAAATTACTTTGAATACCTGAACCTTTTTAGTTAGTTTTAAAATTAAAGAATCAGTTTATGAAATCTGTCTGAATCTTGGTGTGAGACACATTGGCATATGTGTGTTACATAAGTAATGTTTGAAAACATAAACTGAGCTCTAAACAGGATCTTGATAATGCAGCATCTCCAGGACCCTGTACTTTTGTASTGAGTGTATTTCTCAACAAAAAAAYATTTGGACAAACTACTGGTTACAGGATATCAGTGAGTTTGCTCTCTCATATTTGTTGCCTGGCCATTTCTTCTCATCTTCTCATCTCCACTTTTCAGGAGTGGAAAAGTTGACAACGCTGAGTTGGAAGAGCTTTCAGAAACTCCTAATCGTGATACGAGAACCATGAAAAACACTGGGGTCCCTTTCCTTGCTCTGCAATTAAACTGGAGGAATAGCGTAAGCCGTCGGATAAGCCGTTAAAGCGGCAATCGTCAACGCGGGCATCTCAGTTGAGCGCCTCCAGCTCAGCATGGCACAGAGGCGAGGCGAGGCTCACCTGGTGACAGCTGACTGACCGGRGCACCTGGCCAGGCCCCGCCGCCCACACACCCGCACCGGCCGCTCGCCCACGCTGCTGGGCCACGCGTGAGCCCCGCGCCTCGGCCCGCCGTGGGGAAGCAGCTAGCTCCGAGGGGAGGGGACAGGAGGGCAGGACCTGCCCTGCACTGCCCCGCGGGGCCGAGCCGGTGCCGTGGAAAAAAGTTGAGGCGGCTTCAGAGCCGGGCGGTGAGGRCCGGGAGCGCGTGTGGGTACCTGGTAAAGCCGGCGGCTTCAGAGAAGAGCAGCCCCAGTTCAGTACTTCCTCCTGCCGATAAGATCTTCGCCAACGCTCGTCACGGGTGGCGGCCGCCGTCGCTGCCCTACTTGAATCGTTTTCAGACTCCTCCCGAGGCGAGACGGGAGCGGGAGAGCGGCGAGGCGGGCGGGAGGAGGCGATGCGCGGGGCCGCGCCGCTCCACCCGGCCTCCTCCGCCCCGCGCAGCTCCGCTCCCCGCGCTGCTGGCACGGCCGGGGAGCCGCGGCTGAAACCGGCATGGGGACCCTAGGCAAAAGGAGAGAAAACCAGTGAGTTTGCCGTGCTGTTCTATGCTCCCGTCGCCCCTCTCCCTGCGGCGGGTACCGGGGTCGCTGTCACGCCGCCGCGCCCCAGAGTGTTGCGGTGCCCGCTGGGGCGGAGGTGCGGGCGCGGCTCTGCCCGCGGTGGGGCTGGCAGRGGCTCCGTGGGGTGCAGGTACTGCGGGGACCGGCGGGGGCCCTCCCCCGCGGGACAGGGAGAGGAAAGAAGCGCGGGAGGGGGTGTGCGGGGGAGGATTTTGTTTCGTCCTTCGGGATGCCGGTGCAGGCGGGTCAGCGCGGGACGGAAGAGCCTCGCGTTACGGTGTCGGCTGAGCGGGACCCGCCCCGGCTCGGTTACCTGCGGCACGGCCGGGGGCACCGGGCGAGGGGCCGGGAACGGGGCTGTCCCCGCCTGGCCGGGGAATGGACACCTGCTCCGGCGTCAGTCCACGAGGGGACGGTCACTTATTTGTGGTGTCTTCCCCACCGCCTCAACCGTACAATGGAAATGCAGGGCGGGTGTCCACCCCTGCCCCTCAGTCCCCTTTCCTCTGTTTGCCACGTYGGCTGACTGCTCAGAGAGGATCTGTTCTGGGGAATGGCCAGAGGTGCCACCGACTCAGCTTCGCCTGTCTAGAGCGGCGAAGTCGGCCAGAGTATTACTGTCAACTTTTACTGGGGTGTGGAAACTTCAGGTTTTCTCCAGCGTGTTGTCAAGGACTGAAATATCCTCGGCCTTAGCTCCTRCTTTGTTACTACTTGCTAGGATCCTCTGCCCCGTGTTGAAGAGCCACTGGAATAAAGCTAGGAGAGGGGCTTAGGCTTGTAAAAAGAAAACACTGAAAGCTGATCATGCCCTTGTTCTTTTTATATGAGAACAGGAAGTCAGGTCACGAAACTAAGAGGGAAATTGAGAGAAGGGGGGAAGGGAAGAGAACATTTGCGTAGCTATTCTCAGCCTAACTACGGAGGTAGTTGTGATGGTTAATTAACCGGTGATGGTTAATGCTTCTGAAGGGTCAGGCATGTATTTTCGTGAATTTGAAACTACGGAGGCCTGGGATCCGTGTTGGGTTGTAAATGACACCGTGGTCAGTTTCGTGGCTTTCCCAGCATTCAAATGAGATGGGAAGGTAAGGATAAGGCTGGCCATTCACTGAGACGGAGATGAGGTAGGGTCCAGTCTGTTTTCATAAGGCATCATACTTTTAACTTCATGCAGGGGTTCCTATTTGGGGATGTTTGTGAATTTAATTCTATTTTCTGTGTGTAATATGTACACTGGGTGAATTTCTATGCCTTCCCGGGACTGTCAGCTGATTARTAGTGTCTTGCATAGTGTTCCAAGAAAAGTTGTATGAAAGCTTAAGATAGCACCTTAAAGATGCTGGAGTCACTTGTTTAGGAAGACTGTGGAGTGTCTGAAATAAACTCARAGAATCCCCGAAATTTCAGGAGTACCTGAAATAAACCCAAGTTTTATTGAAAYGGCAGTGGTTGTAGTTCTTTTGTGAACTGTATGGTTATACTTTCAAGTCAGATTTTGCAGTGGTTCCTGTTGTTTGTTGGCAAATGTGTTCCACCACTTTTCATCAATACAATATTGTTCCTATTTACTATTTCATACAAAAATATGAACTTGTATGCAAGCAGTGGATAGCTTTTAGTATTAYGTGACATTCACATTCTTGAAATATAAGGTATTACATGATCAAAACACAAGCCTAAAATTACATATGTACTTTATTTCGGTCTCATTTGCAGTTATAATTAAAGAAATTTATTTGCTATCCATACTATTTTAAAACAATGTAATAGGAAATAAGAGTATAAAATAGATGCAAATGAATGTATTTGTTTTAATTGTGAAATACTCTACTGTGAGGGTCTGCTGATACTTTGTTTACTTAATAGTGATTTTCMAAATTGAATTAATAAAGGTAGTCTGGTGTTTTTTAGTGTGTGTAATATTTGATTACAGTTGTTTTTGTTTCTGCTTTACTTTTGGTGGGCACACAAACATGTGGTGGTAGACATTGCATGGCAGTATTCCTGTTACATAGTTTGAGGGGTATTTATATTTGTGCTGAAATTATTTTGTAAACATGACTGTCCAACAAGGAGACAAGACTTCTGGTAATCTTGACAGATTATTCAGGGTGCTCTATAACCATGTGCTCTGCAACTGACATTTAGCAGAAAAAAAGTCACTTATTGAGCAGTCCCTTTGGTGTACATATTAAGTGGGAGGGTTATGTCTTTCAGCACCCTAACTAGAAGGAGTTAATTGTCCTTTAGATCTCTCCTCCTTTCTCATGCACTGTAAAATTTGCCAGTCTGTCTTGTATTTACTTCATTATTGTGCTTTCTTTTAGGCAACCTGCCCAAGCATGCAGCACTGCCCCTGAATCAGCACTGGAGCTGCAGCACACCAGCCACTGTCCCAGCCTCTCAAATCATACTCAGGTCATGATGGTACCATTGGGGCACCTAGCCAAAGGGGCCACTTTGGAAGACCTTCTTGAAACCTGCATTCAGTCTTTTGGTGAGTGTCTGGAGGTTTTTACAGTCGTATTATTTTATTTCCATTCTGTCTGTGTTTAAATCCTTTAGCAGTGAATTACATTGATTTATTGGAGGAGTAGAAAGGTGTTGACTGAGAATTGTCTGAGCTACAGGTGACTGYATTTTTGGTTGATGGATGTGTTTATGTGTGTAATATATGCCAACAGATTAGTGGGACAACTGCGTTTTCTTGAGGGAACCAGACAAATTCCAAACATCTGTACTTCTAAGAGCTGTCTTGTTGTTCCTTCAAGTACTGATTTTGTAAACTTTAGCAAGTAATCATTATATTTTGCATATTGCATTCTCATAATGTGTATAAGCAACATGTTCATATTAAACATTTTAAAACAAGAAGGGTTATTTTTTAACTAGGTGAGGTAGCACTGGATTGCTTTTCCCAAGATCAGTATAGATGTAAAGTTGCTTCTCTATAAAAGAGAAAGAATCCAAATAGAAATCACAACTGTATTTTTTGAGCCTATCCATTATCCTTTTGTCTTTTTACAATAAGACTTGAAATATGGATAAGTTAACCATTGCCCTAGTTTCCTTTTTCAACTTTTTCATTAGTAAATGTGTTTATATTTACTGTTATTAAAATATGTTACTGCTGAAGACACTGAAAGTTATTCAGAATAATTTGCTTATAAGTAGCACATCTGTTTGTTAATACTGAATCTCYCAGTGCTGTGAGCTATTCTCAAAGTATATGTGACAAAGTCTTAGTTTCAGAAGTAGTCCTTAGAAAATAAAGGTACTTGAACACCCACTCAGCTCTAAAATAATTACCTGTATAGTTAAATAGTAACACATCGTGCTGATCTACTGGTTCAATGCATAAATACTCTGTAAACAATGACTAATCTTTCACATTTGTTTGRAACGATTTTCTTTTAAATTTTAAGACTTCTAATCAGCATGTGCATAGAAATGCTTGTCTGAGAAAAGCTGGTGAAACATGTAATTGTAGGTTATGTCTTGTTTGTCTTTTGCTTCTTTTCTTCTCCAATTCATTATTGTRAAGACTCTGAACTGCTGTAAAGCCCTAATTCCTCAACAAATGTTGACTGATATTTTTGTAAGTTTCAGTTCAATAGGAGTGGGATAGACATCTAAAAYAGAAGATCTCCAGGTAGTTTTAATATTGTGACTATTTGACCAATATTAATGTCTCCATATTTATATGAAAAAAACAGTTATATAAATGTAGCATTATAAAAATCTAGCAGAATTATTAAGGTRATTGATTTAAAGTAGTGTAGGTGAAAACCTAAACAGGAGATTATTGTTGGCTAATTCTCTGTATCACARTATGGACATGCTTAGGTGCTCTCAGATTCCTGTGCATCAGTTCATTAAAAGGACTAAGGTAACAAAGAAAAGCAAATGTACCTGTCTGGTTCAGCTACATATGCCTGTGAATCCTTCTTAARAGTTTCATACCTCAGGTACAAAATTTATTGTAGTCTGGTAGAGACGTACAGTTCCTTTTCTTGAACCTTGACAAGCTGTACATAGATTGAGCAAGGTGRATTGCAGTGCATCTCCAAACATCATTATAACTCACTAAGGGCTGCTCAAATTATRTTGTGTGCTCTGGAGGTTTAGACTCTTCATTGGACAATTCTTAGTAGTGTCTTTGTTTGTACATCTTCCATGACATTATTCATGTTCCTRTGCTATGTTGGAATTTTCCATTACGGTATTTTAATAAAAATACAACTGTTAAAACTGTAGATAATCTCCATGATGAAGTTCATTAAAGAAGGCTCTTGTAGCTACCAACAAAAACAGTGCAAAATTCACTGAGTTCAAAATGGGTGCATTATTGTGGGTGCCAATAAAGAAAGAGATAAGAAACACTTTAACCTGGGATTTTGAAGAGGGGTGGGGGTAGGGAGAAAAATGGTGGGGAAAAAAGGCATAGTTTCAGAATAATTACAAGAAATCTGATTCAGCACGTTTCTTCCCATGCATACTACTGAATAATTCTATTTAGACTAGGATTATATCTTCAGTCTTGGCTGTGCTGGCCTATAGTATTTTGTAAATTATTCTATAAAGTCATTATAGTGATTTGAGCAAGTTTTATTTAAATGTTTAAAGTACAGAAACCCCCCAAAACATTGTACATTTGAAGTTTGCTTTTTAGAAAAAGCCCTTGATTCATTTTCTGTCTAGTCTTAAGGAGATCTAGCATTACACTCCACTTGCTAATACTTTGTGTACAAATACAATTTCTCTATAATGGTTGCAGCTGAATTTACATTCCTGGACTCGGTTRCACAAGTTGGGAAAAAGCAAATAGCGTGTAAGAGAGGCTGCTGTCAGCAGCAGTGTGTAAGGAGAAGTTGGCAGCCTTTTACTTTAAATGCAKAGAATATCACAAGAAGGTCTGAGCAAGAAGTATTAATTCACACTTACAGATTTGAATAACACAAGCATAAGTAATTTGTCTTACAACATGGATTAGGAGAAGAAAGGAGAAAGGAGATATGATAAACTGAAATTAAGAGTGAGACGACTAAACATTGCTGCAGTATTGTAAGTGAATTCCAAGATGTTTTGTGGAAAGATTTTATCCAGAGAGCCAAGTTAATCTAAAAGCTTAGTCAGTGCAAGTTAACTTAAATTCCTGCTTTGGGATGATTATTGTGTGCTTTTTCACCTCTCCAGCTTGGACTGATGTATGAAAGTCATGTGCCTTAGCAAAAGAAACAGTGAGGCTCACAGGAGGTGCTCTGAAGTCATGTAGATGGTCTCTACCTCTGRGAGAGTGGCATTACACCAGTATTTATTCCATAGCATGATGAGGAGATGCTAAAAATTGAGGTTTCTTCAAGTCCCATGAAAGTTTGAATCAGGATGACTAAGATCAATCATCCTGCAAATGAGTTGCCAAAAGTAAAGGCAACAAAAAAGTGAGGATGTAAGCGAAGGCAAGAGTTTGGGGGAAAAATAGCATGATGAGAGATTGAAGGTAGGGAGTGTCTTAGAAAGGAATATTGGTCCTCTCTTAAGAGAAGGTCCATGGAGACTTGAAACCACTCATCAGTTTTAAGAGAAGAGATTTGGTTATACAGGACAGTGATTCAAAACATGTTCCATGTGTCTCAAAAGACCTCACATTTTGGTTGCTACAGGATGGTGTTACTGCTATGATCTGGATTGACAAGAAGAATTGTAGAGCACAAATAAATGTATCACATGTGATTGCTTTAGAAAAGAAGGGGAAGGAAAGAGAAAGGAGGAGAGTGCATGGAGAAGAAGAGCAGGAGGTAGGGTGAAATGATCCAAAGAACTAGAAAATAGAGTAGCTGCAGAAAGGTTAGATTCAGAGCAACCTTTACATCAGAGATATTAATTCTGAACAAAAAGGTCATAAAGAAATAATTAAAAGTAGATTTTTCCATTGGCAACAAGATGGCTGAAGTTGTAAATTAAGGGATCAAAGAAATAGTTAATAGATCTTGGCTTGGAATATGACAGTTTCAGGAGRGACATAATTTATTCTGGAGGAAATCTTCATTATTGACTGTGATTCTAGAGTGTAATTTTGCATAGAACAGTGACTTTAACCCCCTGCATCCATTGTTTTTTCCGCTATGTAGTACATAAAATGCCTGGAAAAAAATGTACTTTCGACAGGCAGACAGTTCTCTGAACGTTGATATGACTTAGTCTCCTATTTTGTTGCCAGTTGTAAAGGCACTTATTGAAACCAACACAGCAGGGACTGTTTTGCTGACAGTTCAATAGAACACAGGGAGCAGAAGCTTGTAGCACAGSCCTACTTTTATGTCCAGTTCTTACAGTAATCTTTGTGAGACTGCATAAGTGCTTAAYATATATTTAGTTCAGAAGGTGTTACAGATCAGAGAGAAAAAATGTATTGGCAGAGTTCACTTCACTGGATACCTTAATTTGTTAACTTTATATCTGCTAAATGTTCATGACATTTATCACCCTAGGGTATCCTCACGCTACAGTGAACTTGAAGTTCTCACTGTGTGTTGTGAAGTCAGTTTCTAATACAGAAAATTTTCTTTCTTTTTTTTTGTAACTTCACAGTGTGTGAGTGCATGGTTAGTGCAGTGGTTAGTGCAAGAGGTCCCTGTTTCTTTCCTTTGACTCTGTCTATTTTTATCATATAAATGTATATTTTTTTAATCTAGAGTAAGGTTTAAGGACACTTATATTTTAAAACAAAGATACCTTTCAAAGATTCAATGAAATATTTTAACATGCATTCAAGCTTATAAAMCATGTAGGGTCAGAGGTCTTTTTCCTTGCCCATGCAACATGCTTGTTGAAATTATTTTTACAAATGTTTAAAGACTCCTTTTTAATCAGGAAAAGGTGTGTTCTCAGCATAGTATCAATGTAATATCTYCCTCTTTTGTATGCAGTAAAGTCCTGAAATGTTACTTAGAATCACCTAACAAACAATTCCAAGGGTGCACTTGAAAGCCATCACTTATTCAGACGCTTCTGTCTTCCTCAAAACAAATCTAAGCATTATTTAAAATCTGAGAATTCCCTAAGTGCTCAAAATGTTAATGTTATGAAGGTATTTCTGTCCTTAACCTTTGAGAGCAAGATCTTACTCTTTGCCTCTTACATTTGAGTGCTGGAAGTATGTATACTGTAGCATGTGGATGACCTATGCTTATCCTACAATTCCCTATGCTTATCCTACAATTCAGACACTTCAGTTAAAAAGAAATCAAGAAATATCATCTTCAAATGCCTGTCACAGTATAGTCTCCTTGTGTTTGGTTTCTTAAAAGAAATGTAAGTAAGGGACTTTAGGAAAGCAGCCAAAATATTTCTGAGAGCTTGTACCAYAATTCTGTGTGAAATCTCATCGAGGATAAACTGTTTGCAGTGGAGCTAATTGTTTCTACATATATGTCAGTTTTAAGCCATGGATGGCTTAAAGGGAGTTGAAAATTATAACTTCAAAGATAATCAATG